ATTACGACGCAAAGCCACAATGCAACCCGGCATTGTCGCAGAGCCACAATGCAACCCTGCTCGCTCTTGCCTCCTGGATGTCAGTTGCTTTTCTGTTTCTACACATCACCCAGTGCCATGCGATCCATTTCTTTATAAGATTTGTCCATGCGGTTTTCTTGCAAAATATGGGAGGATTTACAATTGTCTTTTCCCATGTAGACTCCATCATACTTAAAATCATTCCATTAAAATAATTAGAGGTTACATTTATTATAAACAAGTTAATGCCCTCTTTATTTCAACAGGTATTTTCAAAGTGTATTGAAGTCTGGATTCAAATCGGTGTGTACATATTCTAGCTATGCCCTAGCTAAGAAGAGGAAAAGATTCCAAACTAAAATATAAAGAAGGGAAAAAACCAAGAAAGAATAACAGAATAACAGAGTTTGAAGGGAGCCATCCACTCCAACCTTTTGCTCAAGCAAGAAATCATATCCCATTTCAGACAATTGGTTGTCCAATCTCTTCTTAAAAACCTCCAGTGGTGGAGGACCCAGAGTTTCTGGAGTAATTATTCATTTTAGGATTAGTTCTTCTCTAATTCAAAAGTTAGGTAAATGTTCCATGTTAACTGTAGTTAACTGAACAGATTTGTTCTATAGTATGTTTTCTTCCATTTATTAATTTCTGTCTCATGTGAAGACTGGCCTATTGACTTCATCTCCCTTTGGAAACCCGATGAGATGGTTAAGATCTTCAGGAGAAACCCTTTTGAAGATGTCCCACCTGGCAGAATCTTTTTTAATCTGACACACAAGAGAGGGTTTTCTCCTGTATCACACTTAGTATGCAATGCACTGTTTCTGGAGTTGTATTCAGTCCTACTTTCACTGTTTTAGATAAACAGCTGATCTTATGTTATTGAAATAGTGTTCGCACCATTTTACCTAACATTTGTAATCATTGTAGTTATTGCTATATGTCTTGAGAAATTACTTGAATAGGACTCAGTAGGGTATGTTCAATAGGGTATGATCAGAAAAGCAGGCTATGAATCAAATCAATCAAAAACATATTGAGTTATTCAAATAACTATTTTCCAACATTTTTTATAGATACCAATAGAGCTGGTAGAAAAACTGTAACTTTGGATGATGCAATCTCTTATTCCTTTTTTGTAAGGAAATTTTATCAAATTATATTTATTTTTAGGATGTATCAATCACATATCGTTCTCCCACTTGAAGTTTCATTGTCCATATAAATATGGGTATGGGACAAAGGCAAATAATTTCAACAATTAGAATAAGGAGAATATCAAAACTTGCTGCCCATAACAGAATTTACATTATGAAAACTTTGAAGAAAAATCAAGTTGTGCTGATAACTGGAGGAAAATGTTGTAGTTGTAGGGAATGTATTAAAATACTATAATCTACATTTTCAGAAGAAAAGGCAAACTCACAACTAGGTCTAAGCCTTGAGAAATTTTAAATTCCCCCCTTACAAAAATCCTTCATCTTGAAAGACAATGCATGCTATATTAAAATACAATGTAGGACAATGTCAGATATAACAGGTGATGAGAGCTATCTAGCAAAACTCAGAAAGATGACTAGACTTAATGCTTAATAAAGTATGTGTCATTATTTATTTTTAGGGCTAGGACATACAGTGACATTTGCAGCAAAAAGTAATGCATCGTCAGAGCTAAACACAACAGGATTTGCTATTGAAATTATGTACACATCATCAAGTGAAATTTCTGGAGTGGGTAAATATGACAAAAGTTTAATTGTTTGGGAATATTGGTCAAATTAACCTTAATCTTTAACTAGAATTATTAAAGTTATATTAAATAAAAGGAACATATCAGCTGTGCTCTTAGATGACCTCAATTCTGAATTTCAGGAATTAAACAAATTGCTACATGGAATTAATGAACATTTAAAATCACTGACTAAAAAAGAAAAGTTTGGATGAGAACCATTGTCCTAGATCCAAACTCCTTGATTCCAGTAGAAAATAGCTTTATCTAAATAGTTCTATGTGCAAATTGTCTGTGGTCATAAACATACCCGGTGCAACAAGGATATGAAAAACCTTGACTTTCCAAACTTCTAATTTGGTTTTTTCTTAACATGTTGAATTATAAATACAATAATTTGGTTAGCAAGTCTACTATTCATGCTTTTTAACTGGTCATATTCCAAAAAGAAACATTTTTAGATTGGGAAAAGCTGATATTATTAAATTATATCTATGGAGATTCTCACTCATGTCATGGTTGCTTAAGTTGATTAACTAGACTGAGAAAGTCCAATTGCCTTTTAAAAAGCACCTTTGTTACATTACCAAATTGCAATAAGCATCGATCTTTGTATCAAATACCCATTTCAAAGATTGATGTATTCATTTTAAATGTATATATGTGTATATTATCCTTCAGCACGATTGGACAAAGATGGTCACACAACTATCCAATGTAATTTCAAATCTTATCCTTCATAATGTTCATAGTATATGGCTATGTTAACAGTGCAGAATATAGTGCCATGACAAAGAAATGCTTATTGCTAATACCACACTGTGAGCAAAAGAAGAGAAAACTGTCAACTAAAATGAAATATATTGATAAGTCAAATGTATTTCTAATACAAATTTTTTGACTTTGTGTTTTCTCTTTTTAAAACAAATATATACACAGATAAGAACTCTTTATTAATATTTAACCATCATTCATTCATTATGAATATCTATTCTATTGTTCTCCTGTTAATTTCAAACAACTGACATTCAGAACAGCATGAACATTTACAAAAACTGTTTATTCTTCCAGAATAAAAACATGTTATATGGACTGGATTGTATTGAAAAGGGAACAACTAAACATAATCATACCATATGAATTAATGCTGCATTTTGAATACCACATTGCTTATAATTCACCAATTTCTTCCTGAAAAGAGGCATAGCTATCAAATAAACAGGAACTTATTTTAACACTAGCTTAAACTCTATATAAACCTGCAAACTAAATGCCAAAATGATCTAGTGATGTACATGTATAGAATACTTTGTTTATTCTATTCCACTCTATACATTTGAATGTGAGAACCAGTTATCTAGTGGTTAAGGCACCAGGCTCCAGAGCAAGTACCATAATTTTAAATCCTGTCATAGGCAGCTGGATGACTTTGGACCAGTCATTTTCTCTAAGCCTAACACACCTCACAGTATTGAGGAAGATTTGTTGGTATGTTTGCTTGCTTGAGTTATTTGTAAAAATAATAAAGGTGAAATACAAATAAAATCACAAACTTGATTGGTTGGGTGGCTGATTGGTTGTACTGTGTCAGTTCAGAATATTGTATTCAGTACATCACATCTAAGTTCAGCACAATTTAGCATGTTGTGAAACAGTTTAACACAGTTTAACTGAGAGACTCTTTTTTATATCAAATTGGGTGATAATTTACCTTTGCTTCATTTTTTTTATATTTTGTCAACTACAGCCATTCATAAAACTACCTTATCACAAAAGACAGATCAAGTTATGGTATTGCCTCTTGCCTCCCATCCAGACCCACACAAGCTTTAGGAAATGCAGGGAGGGGGAAACTTAATGGCATAATGTGATTAGCCCAGGATAAAGATACAGAAATGGGTGATATTTTACCTTATGTTGATGATGATCGCAGCTTCATCATATAAAACAGGAGTAAGGAAAGAGTAAAAAAGTACCCCACAAAGATTTGATCTCTCAAACTTATCAAGAACAACTGGAATTGGACATAAAAAAGGAAAAATCCCTGAACCAGCTGAGGAGGTCATGAAGCAGTGGTGGGATTCAATTTTTTTTACTACCAGTTCTGTGGGCGTGGCTTGGTGGGCATGGCAGGGGAAGGATACTGTAAAATCTCCAGTCAGAGGTGGTATTTGCCCATTCTCCGAACTACTCAAAATTTCCGCTACCAGTTCTCCAGAACTGATCAGAACCTGCTGAATACCACCTCTGAGATGAAAGTATTGAAAGTGCTAAAAAATTACAGTGTAGGAATGGATGCACTATCATCATACAGAGCCTAGCAAATATCAAATGAGATCAATACTGTCTCGGGGCTATGACATGGCCTAAGCCCAAATTGAAAGGGGCTCAAATAATCAATTTCTTTTGGAGCTATAAGCTGATCATTTTCTCAACAAATCTCCCTAGAGCAGCAGTGGAACAACAGCTGGCTGGAGAATTGTAGGACTTGAAGTCCATACATCTTCAAGTTGCCGAGGTTGAAAAATGTCCTAAAATAATAGCTTCTTGAGAAGAGAGTGAACAATAGTCTCCTACAAAGTGGGTAGATTCACCCTTTCCCACAACAGAAATGTTCACCACTGTATGTACCCAACTGTATGCCCTCTCCAAAGAGGCCTTATACAACCAGGAGGGGGTGTGGATCTAAAACACACATGGACAAATTTTCAACTAAAGGGAAAGCTGATTGAGCACTAATCAATTTAGTTGCAATGAAAAATAAATAGAATAGCAAAAGAATAGTGGTAATCCTAACATGGTCAAAAACATTTGCTAGGAACAAATTGCAGCAGAGATTTACCATAATGAAATGCCTGTGTGACTGTTTTGTAATGGTATTGTACAAAAAGAACAAAATCACATGGAAGCAAACAACATCAGAGCAAATATGCAACTTTTGCATAGATAATTTGTGTGCTTGTAAGGGCAAACATGCAATGATTCTTCACTATCTTGCTTAATCTAGAACATCTCTTTTGAAAGTATTTAGTGGCATTTTTTAGTTATAATTAATTAATTATAATAGTTATAATTAATTAATTATTATGAATTTTTATCTTACTTTTTAAAGTGAACATTCTTAATACTCTTGCCTACTCTTTTCCCAAAAACAATAACTCTGTGAAATGAGGCTGAGAAAGAGAGTAATTTTAAAATGTGTTGGTCAAGGTCACCCAGCCAGCTTTCATTCCTGAAGCAGGCTTTCCTCACAGTTTCCTAGTTACTAGACCAGCATTTAATCACTACACTAAACTGGATTTCTAGTTATGGAGCAACCTTATTGTCAGAGGCTGACACTTATTCCAGGCAATAACATACAAATATTAATGTCCATTCTGGTTTTTACCCGAAAAGTAATCAAATAATCAGCTTCATATTTTCAAAAAAATTATAGACTTTTTTGCCTTGGCATATAGGCTGCTCCAATCAGATATGGACAAATCAGTCTTCGGTCAAATTGGAAGTCTCCATTTACACTTATTGTACTAGATTTGGCTCGGTGCCAAGTATATTTTCTGAACAAGTCACATAAACTCAACATTCCAGTTTTCTATAATAATTGTTCAATAAACCGAAGCACAAAATGGCACAACATTGTTTGCTAATACTTTTCTTTTTAACTTTTTCTTATAACAGCAGGATTCAAATACCAACCTGGTGGGTGGGATCAGGTACACCCAGGTATATAAATAGGCATTCCACACCTTTCTTGTTCACACTGAAATTGAAAGCTCTTCAGCTGTTGCTCTAAGAGGGCAGAAAAGGTAAGGTTATTGCTGCTTGCATAGCAAAGGCCCTATTAAAAGTTTTTTTATGCTTGTAAATCAAGTTACTTATTAATAAGTAGGGTTAGAAGCAGAACAGAGATGATTATATTTAGATAATCCCAACATTCTTTAGACAGGGAAAAAAATCCATTTTAAACAGAGCTTTGCAAGTACACAACATATTTTTACAGCCAAGATACATTATTTTCAATTATTTGCTTTCTCCTTCTAGCCTGCCAACAGTCCTTCCTTTACTGTGCTTTGATTTCCTGTTTGGCAAGGACAACTCCATTTCATTTCTTTTAAGGCTGCACTTGTTTTTGAAAGGGAACAGCTTTTGTGTTGTACAAAATGGAAATTTTATATCTTTTCATGTTTCTTAGAAAGCATGGAGGAAAAGAGGATTTTCCTCTATCCAGTTTCCCCCCATTTTCTATCTGTTCATATCTTTCTTACTATTATCATCAAATCACAATCTTCCATTCTTTAAGCTCCCATCATCCATTCAGCCTAACTATAGACCATGCTGACTATTCATGATGGGATTGCCTTATAAAAATGTCACTGTGGCATACTCTAAAAACACTCAGTAGGCATAGATATTTAGATAGACCCATGTACGCACGCATACACCCCCTCCCCTACTTTTAACTTTCCTATTGGCTTCAAAAATTAGATACAGAAGCCTGGCTTTCTACATTTACCTTATTCCTCCTTTCAACCATCCCCATTTTGATTTTTCTCATATACGTGTTATTATATTATAATTATCTCATTAAAAGTTTAGTACAAGGCATGCTTATTAAAAGTTAAAATCTACTATTTGTAGCAATTTTGTCTCCTAAAAAAACAATAGTGATCCCTAATAAATCTGGAGCCAACCCTTTTGCATTGTAATTAAATCTACTTACAAGTTAGTGAATTGGACCTAGATGAGATCGTGCCTAGATTTCGAATCCCAAAATTCTTCAGCCAGCTAGCAAGGTATTAGACTACAATACTGTAGGTATCTCAAAATCAATAAGATAATTCATAATTAGTGAAGGACCTATTGATTTACATGAGTTTTATTCTTATTTTGACTAAGTTTATATCAATCCCAATGTGCTAACTACAAAAGCTCAGAAATAGCATTTTATTACCATATTCGTGGTGGCAGATATTCTTCCAAAAAGAATGCTAAATACTAGAAATATTAAAATACCCAAGTTTCTAATTTTGAAAGTAACATGATCCTTAGTAATCTTTACAGTCTTCAAAAGAATCACGCTTGAGCTTAATTTGGCAAGCAGACTGGGGAAATGTATCTTCTCCCATGACGTATAAATTGGTTTGCAAATCTAAAGGATAAGAGATGCTGAATTCTTTTAGCATTAACGTTCGGCAACTTACTTGCATGCTATTTTTAATATTCAATATTTTAAGTTAGCTAATTATGCAATTAGATTAAAATAAAGTACATCTTCCTGAACCCAGTTTTGGGTAAATCTAGATAAAATCACCCTAGGAAAAAAAGTCACTCTTCCATTTGTAAAAATGTTGGGTTTAATCTGTGAATAAATGACAAAAAGCTGGCTGGCTCTTGTGGAGTTGACATCTAACACATTAGGGGAAGAGAAATTTAAGAAAACATTGGTCTAGATCAAAATACAAAATGCAAGGTCACATTCCCATGAATAGGTGGGTGGAGTTGGTTTTAAATGTCTTTATTCTGATTTAGGTGCTATTGTATTGATTGGTGGAGGAAATTCCCTGGTAAACATGTAAAAAATATATTGCTTTATTATCAACTAATAGCAAATTCAGAACAGTTCAGAGTAAAATTCAGAATAAAATAAGCAAGAGAAAAGGACTGTAGCAAATTAAGCCTTGAAACCTGTCCCTGCTCTTTTATTTGGAGAAGTAGTTTGCTCCTTTACATTGCTTATTCCAATGCAGAAATTTTAAAAGAATTTTCAAGGAAGGAAGGAAGGAAGGGAGGGAGGAAGGAAAGAAGGAAGGAAGGAAGTCATTTAGTTCAGCAGTGCTCAATTCCAAAGAAACACACAGAGTTCTGTTGTAAATTTGCCTACGTAGTCAGTTCCTCTCTAAATAGAGAAATTCTATAACAGTGCATGAGATTTAACAGTGCATGAGATTTTCTTTCTTATGTTTTATTACTATTGTTCTTTTCTTGTAGTATTTTGTTTCATTGCTTTTCAAGTATACCCAGACTAATGCTTAATTCACTCCTAAGCTTTAACAATGGAAAAAAATATAGCCTCCATCTTGATTTTGGTTCTTGCTGTCTTGAATACTCTGGCTAAAGAAACTACTACTAAAGATGGAAGAAAAGACCCAAAAGAACCCAAAGAGACCCATCCTAAACTTCCACAGACTCTTTCAAGAGGTAAAGCCATGTATTTTATACATCTCAGTTGTTAATCAGGCCTGCTTATTCTTAAGAAGTGATTTTTGGAATTATTTATCACAGTTATTTTCCTTCAAATAACTTTCAACTGACAGAATATTATGCAATTTAAAATATTTTTTTAAAAATACAGCATGCCTAATAAATATTGGACCAGGGGATAAATAATTTACAACATTGTTTCTCAACCTTGGTAACTTTAAAATATGAGGACTTTAGTTCCCAGAATTCCTTAGCCTACATATCTTAAAGTTGCTGAAATTTAGAAACACGGATCTACTATAGGGAAATAATCTTATGTCTCAGTATAAAAAAATGTAAAATGGGAATTCCAAGGATCTTATGACTAATGGAATATGATCTGAGGAGTATATAGATATTTATACATATCTATTTGAAAGTAAGTTCCATTAAGTTTAATAAGATTTCAATTAATTGAATTATTTGATATTTGCTATGTTGGCTAGAGTTGATAGGAGCATATGACCCAAGGACAGTATTTTCCAATCTTGACAAAGATATGCCAATTCCCAAAATGCCAAAGAAAAGTAGATATTGCACAAGGAGCACCCTCTAAAAAATGAATTCAAGTATTAATCATGTATCAGTCCTGGGGAGGAGATTAATAGATAATATTAATTAGATATTAATACAGATAATAATTATTAGAAGCTAATAATTCAATCCATGTTTATGAGCTTTTAAATTCACATTAACAAATGAATTCAAATAAATGCTTGCTGTTAACCCATATCATCAAAAACAGTTCCCTGAAACATGGGGAAATGTTTGGATTAAGAAGCGCATTGTGTGATAGATGTACTACGATATTTGTTCAGATTTGAATGAAATTATATATTTAAAACTCCTTTAAACAATGACATATTTAAATTAAATTCCATTTGTCATTTATCTTCAGGTTGGGGCGATCAACTAATCTGGACTCAGACTTATGAAGAAGCTCTTTTTAAATCCAAAACAAGGTAATCCCTTTGGCAAGTGCTATTCATTGTTTTATGAAAAATTATTTGACTTCCAGTATGAGACATTGATAAAATATTTCAATTTATTTTAGTATATTTCAACAAATGATACTACACATTACCATTCTATCACTCTCTCTCTCTTTTTGTTTACTCTCTTTCAATCTTATAGAAAAGAACTTGTTTTCATTTTTTCCATCTGGAAACATAAGAACAATTTAGGGGAAGGTTTCCGGTTTGTCGGCTTCGCGAGCGGTAGGGATTCGCGAAGCTGCGCGATCCCTGCCGCGCTAGCCGTTTTGGGGCTCCGACCCGGACGGGTGCGGAGCAAGGCTGCCCTGCAGGGGTAGCTGAAGGTAAGGGGGATCCGGAGGAAGGGTTTGGGGGTGTTGCAGACCCCCTCCCTGGCCGGCAGAACCCCCTGTTACCAGGACGGTGCAGCGGCGGTCCGTAATGGCCGCCACAAAGAAGTTGACAGCCGGGCAAGTATGCGCAGGAGGAAGAAGAGAAAGTTATTGAAAGTAAAAGTTCTTCTTGGTCGACCCAGGGCTTTGAGATCTATCTAATTTAATTCCTGGAAAAGATGGTTTTCTGATGATTTTTTCCACAAGAGAAAAAAAAGCGGCTATTTTGAGGTGCTGAAGGGAAAGTTTACTCTCCCTCCCGACGGAATTAAGCCGGAAGGGAGAGGATAAAGAAAATATATTAATTTGGATCTTGTTGGAGGAGATGCCTTGAAGACTTGAGGACAGAAATACAATCTTAATAAGGCTTTAAAATATAGACTTGGATTCTTTTTTTTTATTTGTTTGATACCACCCCTGGAAGAGGAAGGGGGAATTTTGGCTTGCTTGGATTTATTGAGGATTGTGGATTTTGGGATTGTTTTGCCTTTCTCTCGGAATATTTGGTTGGTGTAAGAAGAAAGAGGAATAAAGAAAAGAAAAGATTTATTTATAATGGCTTTCCTTTTTGAAGACCTGAGGGATGAATATGAGCAAACAAAAGCAGCCTGCAAAGATGGCATGGAAAAAGCTTTTCTATTTCTAGAAATGGCGCTGGTCAATTATCAACAGACAATGGAACAGATGGAAACGGAAGAAGAACAACAAGGAAGAGATGAAGACGCCATCTTCATTGAATCCCAAAACTTATCTAAGGAAGAAGGAAGGAAGAGAGCAAGGAAAATGAAGGACTTAAGATCTAAAAAAACATTTGAGAAAGAGAAAAATATGATGCAAAGTAAATATAATGATAGCAAACAAGAGAAAAAGGGAACACAACAGAGAAGGGATCCCAGCAAGGCAGAGGTTAGAAGAAGAAGGGGGGGTAGGAAGATTTGGTGGGGGAAGAAAGAAAGGGGAAAGGCGGAGAAAAGCCTCAAAGCTTTAAAATTGGATGGGAGAAGAGGGATTTTTTTTAGAGACAAAGGATGAAATGTAATTTTCTGTAAGAAAGATTCTGCTAAGGTACAGAAGATGGTATTGTAACATTTATATTTGAAATAGTAAATTAGAATGGTTTAAGATTTAATAAGAAATTAAAATGTTGAAGTTTTTAATAATGATTGATTTTTAAAATGTAATAAAATATCGAAGGAAAAGAGGATACAATGTATTTAAACATTTTTGGTGGATAGAATGTACCAAGCAGAACCAAATTGGGTATTTGTTATGCTGAATGTTAATTTTACTAACTTAGGGGGAGGATAGAAAGGCATCATACTCTGATTAGTGATTTCAGGAGAAATTTTTTTTATTATAAGAAGAGATAGAGGGATAATTGAATGGGCAAAAGATACAAATTTAATGATTTAATTAAGATGGATTAAATAAGATAGAAATGTGAAGAGTGATATGTGCTATTATTTTAGCCCATGCAAAGAGAGGTAACTGGGGCCAAGGTACTTTACTAAAAGATTTTTTTTTATGTTTGTTTGTGTTTGTTTGTATTTTATGAGAATATTGGGGAAATTATTGTAGAAAGACAGGGAAAGATTCAATATGTAATGATTTGTTTGTTGTTGAAACTTTTAATAAAACTTGTTTTAAAAAAAAAAAAAAAAAAAAAAAAAAAAAAAAAAAGAACAATTTAGGGAAACTCACCCAATTTAGGGTAGGTTGCCATATGATCTTGCCCTAACTTTTCTTTCTTTCTTCGTTTCTTTTACAATACAATCACCACTACAGCAGTCTTCAGCTGCTGTTTCCAAAAAAAAATTTTGTGGAGCTTCTGGGGATCACGAAGCAACAGGAAATAGACTTCATGCTAATAAACAGTCATGATTAAGCACCACTATATAACTTATCACTTCTTTTAACAGAAAAGTCATCCCACAAAACCACAAAATAAATGGTAAAGAATTATTACTCTGGGAATGAGATAGAAATGCAGAAACATCTTTTGTAGGAGAAGAAATTTATTTAAAAAATTATTTCAACACTATATTTGATAAAAACTAAGCAGAGATTTGAGACCCCTTCCAGACACATTCTAATTCTCATATCCCTATTGGCTATGCCAACTACACTAATGGAAATTGTAGACCAATGCAATGGACATGCTTAGTTTAGAGAAGTCAACCAAATTAACTGCAATTATGGACCACTTTTTCTCTTACAGCAACAAGCCTATAATGGTCATCCACCACTTAGAAGAATGCCCACATAGTCAAGGTATTGTTGTTTCTAACAAATGAAATGTTCATCCCATCTAGGAAAATTAATTGCTTTCTCCCTTCAGGTTTTTTTAATGACCGGAAAGAGCAACCTGTTTTAATTTAGTAATTAAACAATTAAAGATATACAAATTTGAATAAAAGGCTTTGTAGCAGCCATTTAGAAATGAAATTAGAAATCAGAAATGAAGTGTTATGATTTATAAAGAACAATATTAGTCCTATTCATATATATAAAAAAGAAAAGAAAAGAAAAGAAGTTTTAAAATCCAAAGACAGTTATTGTGGTAGTTTTAAGTATTTTTCTTAAAATTATTTTTATGCTTCATTTTTATAGTATCATATGTATGTGGTTTTGAGTCAGTTTTTTACTCAACTAGTCCCTGTAGTTTTCTTTCCTAGATTTCAGAAGTGGTTTGCCATTGCCTACTTCCTAGGGCTGAGAATGAGTGACTGGCTCAAGGTGACCCAGCTGGCTTTGTGCCCAATGCAGGTCTAGAACTCACAGTCTTCCAATTTCTAAACTACTACTAAATTGGTTCTCCTCTATAGTATTTCTTTTTCATTTTACATTAAGATATACCAGGCATTAATATAGTTTACAAGTTTGGCCAGATTTGAAATATCAATTAATATAGAACATTTATTTCCTTTTTTCCCTTTTTTAAAAAATAGCTTTTATAATTGTTACTCTGTTTTAGCGTTGAAGAAGGTATTTGCTGAACACAAAGATATACAGAAATTGGCTGCAAGCTTTGTTCTTCTTAATCTTATTGTAAGTTTTCAGATGATGTTTGAATTATTATATAATTTTACACAAGGCATTTTACCAAAATGAAAATGAGCTGCAAATAATTTGAGAAAATGGAAGCTACTATTTCAGTAAAATTTGCAAGTGCATAAGTTGTCTTGTATTTTCAGCAATATTGTTGCTTATATGAATACTTACGGGAAAATATTATGAAAAAAACATGATGTGAGAGTCTCAACTTTCTTCAGTTGCTGCTATCAGTTATATTGGCTGGAAGATTATGGTAGCTGAAGTTGGTTGAACAATTGGAGAGTTATTCATAGCATCAATTTCTATCTGTTCTATCTTGAATATCTTGAAATTATAATTCTAACTGTGAATTTTGTGCAATAGTTGTACGTTGTCCTCCTATACTAAGTCTCTATATTGAAGATAATTATTGGTTTTGTTTTGTTTTTGATGTTGGAATGAGAAAGAGACACAGAGACTGCAGTTTACATGATAGATAAGAATATCAATATCTTTTTTTTTTCTAATTCTAGTATGAAACTTCAGACAAACATCTTGCACCAGATGGTCAATATGTGCCCAGAATTTTGTTTGTAGGTGAGTCATTAGAAATTAAAAACATTTACTTGAAAAACTCGAAGCAAGCTAAGAAAAATAGTCTCAACAAATTTTTATTGCGCAAACAAATTTTGTTCGCTATTCAGTATGAATGTGGAAAATCTAGAAAGAAGAATCACATACAGATGATATCATTTGCAAAGTCTTTAACCCCTGGTATCAGCTGAATGTTTTGACACCATATTCTTCAGTACACACAAGTTCATAATATACCTCTGATTAGGAATTTGTATTTCAGATGTTGTTGATAGAAAAAATATGAATAGCTAGTTTTATAGACTGTTGCCATCTTCCCTTGTTTCTAGATCCTACGCTAACTATTAGAGCAGATATTACTGGAAGATATTCCAACCGTCTCTATGCTTACGAGCCTCAAGATGCCCCGCTGTGTGAGTGATTTCTCTTTCATTTCATAGCTTTAACAAAGGAAAATCCATTTGACTTATGCTATAAGCAAATATTTGAGTACACCATTAGAATTAATCACGAAAAAACCACCCATTTATTTGACACCATTTTCTTTCATGTCTTGTAAGTGAAAGCCAGCTGAAAGATTTCATCATGAGAGTTTAGCCATGCTGCACATTTTTGTATGACTCTGTCTGATATAAATTGGCCAGCACTGGTGATTGGCTGGCATTTCTGTGGATCATAGCCCCTATTAGTGTTGCATCTTGAGCATTACACTGGCCACTGTGGAATTGTGGCCATTCTCCATTTTGGGAGTTGGATAAAGTGTTGGCCATCGAGTCATACCAGAAACAAGCACCAGTTTGGTGTAGTGATTAAAGAACTGGATTAGAAACTGACACATTCTGTTCTTCCATTAGTCGGAGAAGGTGGTTGGTAACTTTGGGCCAGTTCACTCTCTTTCAGCCCAACCCACCTGAAAGGTTGTTCTGGACAATATAGGAAGAGGAGTGTATACTCCCTTGAGTTGTAAAAAATAAAAGTGGGATATAAATCTGAAGAATAAATAAAAATGTCCAATTGCCCATGCACGTGGTGCTGGACTTTAGGGAATCTCTGAACCACCCTTTCTTTATCTCTCCACTACAGTATGCAACTTCCTATACAAGCCACAAATCATTCCTAGATAAATCATTTGTATTTGAGAGAAATTAAGAGTAGTTGTCAAAATTAATACAAACTAATTTAACCAAATTATGAATCTGATTTTCTAAATAAACATGTGAATGCTCATGCTATTTTAAGTCAACTTAAGGTGTGGTTTTTATTTTTGTAGCTTGTTTAATTCAAACAATTCAAATGGGATCTATAAAATTGTTTAACAGCACATGATGTTTTGTTTCCTTAAAAAAATAATGACTCCAATTTATTTATTCCTAGTGTACTCAAATATGCAGAAAGCTCTGATTCTGCTAAAGACAGAATTGTGAAGAAAGAAAAGTGGTCTACTCTCAGATCTTCTGCTCTGACAGTCCAAATATGCTTAGTTTTTTCCTCCTAATTAAAGCATCCTGGACTTTGGATTTGCATAGGGTATGGTTTGCTAATATGCAACCTTTTAAAACCAAAACTATGTTATAAATATTCATTTATAATGTTATGACATTGTATTGATTGCTTTTTTAAAATAATACTAAAATATGCTAAATCATGATTTAAAAATAAATCTACATTACATCTTTACCAAAAAATAGTCTCCCTCGTCATTTTTTAAACATCCACCTGTAAGTTTCTTAGTCAAAAGCAATAGAATAGACTAGACTAGACTAGACTAGACTAGACTAGACTAGAATAGAATAGAATAGAATAGAATAGAATAGAATAGAATAGAATAGAATAGAATAGAATAGAATAGAATAGAATAGAATAGAATTCTTTATTGGCCAAGTGTGATTGGACACACAAGGAATTTGTCTTGGTGTAAATACTCTCAGTATACATAAAAGAAAAGATACATTTGTCAAGAGCCAAGAATCATATGGCACAACACTTAATAATAGTCATAGAGCAGGGGTGGGATTCTACCAGTTCACACCTATTCGCTAGAACCAGTTGTTAACACTCTAAGCAGTTCGAAGAACCGGTTGTTAGAAGAAATTACTGGCCTAAGTAAGGAGGGCAGGAAGGAAACATTCTGGTGTTGCTTACAGAAACTGCCTCTCCGTTAACCCTTATTACATTCTTGGCAGGACTAGATTTCCTGTCTCAGGAACTTTTCTGGAGTTTTTTCCCCCTCCTTTGCTGATACTTTGCTTGTGTGGAGTGATCATTCAAAGTTACAGTGGCACTGAAAAAAGTGACTTATGACCATTTTTTACACTTACGACTGTTGCAGCATCCCTATAGTCATGAGAGGCCAGGGAGGAGATGTGTGCCTTGGTGTGAGTGATATTGAGTTGGCCATACTCAGCCAATAACATGACCACCAAGCCACATGACCAAGCCACGCTCACCACCTAAGCCACACCCACAGAACTGGTTCAGTACATTGAGAACTAGAGTACAATAAGCAATCAAATCATACTAGGAAACAGTCAATATAAATCATAAGGATACAAGCAACAAAGTTACAGTCATACAGTCATAAGTGGGAGGAGATGGGTGAAAGGAAGGATGGGAGGATTAATAATAATAATAGTAATGCAGACTTAGTAAATAGTTTGACAGTGTTGAGGGAATTATTTGTTTAGCAGACTGATGGCGTTTCGGAAAAAAATTGTTCTTGTGTCTAGTTGTTCTGATGTGCAGTGCTCTATAGCATCGTTTTGAAGGTAGGAGTAGTTTATGTGCAGGATGTGAGGGATCTGTAAATATTTTCATAGCCCTCTTTTTGACTTATGCAATATACAGCTCCTCAACAGAAGGCAGGTTGGTAGCAATTGTTTTTTCTGCAGTCCTAAATATTCTCTATGTCTGTCTTGTTGGGTTACAGAACCAAACCAGACAGTTATAGAGGGGCAGTTGACAGAATAATTTCTTTGTAGAACTGTATCAGTGGCTCCTTGGGCAGTTTGAGCTTTCTGAGTTGGCACAGAAAGAACATTCTTTGTTGTGCTTTTTTGTGACATTTTTGATGTTAAGTGTCCATTTTAGGTCTTGTGATATGATAGAACCTAGAAATTTGAAGGTTACGATTAGGGTTTACTGTCTACAAGTCTACAGTTGATACTGTGTAGTCTAGTATTTGTAATAGGTGATAATATGGGAGGATTTCTCCTAAAGTCTACCACCATTACTATGATTTTGAGTGTGTTCAGTTCCAGATTGTTCTGGTTACACCAGGAGGCAAATAGTACAACCTCCCAACTGTATGCACATTCGTCATTGTCTCATATGAGACCAATCATCTGCAAACTGTTGTGTCATCTGCAAACTTCAGTATTTTAACAGATAGATCATTTGAGATGCAGTCATTGGTATATAGGGAGAAGAGGAGAAAGCACACAGGCTTGGGGGACACAGGTAAAATATCAGAAAGAAGTGAAAATGAAAATCAGAAAATGAAGTGTATAAAACCATAAATGCCAAAATGTACTTGGATCAATTCTAGGTGTCTTCAGTCTGTGTGAGAAAAGTTTTTATGTGAAAATATGAACATCAATATCTTTCAATGAAATGTATCAAAAATTATGCTTTGACTGCCTTTTGTAAACTATTTCTATTATGAGAAATAGACACATGAATTTAAATAACAGATATTTTCCATCCATCTGTGAAGCTGTTGCCTCAGTGTTTCAGTCTCAATTTACCTAAAATCTTTTGAATAGTTAATAGTTGATACTTGCTATTTATATTACACACTGAAATGTATAAGCAAAAACCCTGTAATTGAAGTATGGTCATCTATTAAATATTAGCCTAAAGTGTTTAAGTATTAATGCTGGAAATTGCCTTTCCACAATCACGGGATCCAGGCAGAATAGCAACCTTCCAATTAATACACAAATGAAATTTGTCAGTCTACTGGCAAAGTCATAGTTGCAAGAAATATAGAAGACAAGTATTTTTATGTACATAAAAGGTTCATACATATTTTAGCTCAGCATGCTGAATAAATCACATAAAATATAGTAGTTTATTTAACAATTTGAACTATAATATATTGCGAAGTATGTTATATGACCATAACCTCAAAGTTGTGTGGCACATTATGCTAAACTGAAGAACACTCCCAGGACTCTTCCCAGGACTCTCAATTATAAATATTTACCATGATTAGTGAATATTGGCTGTGGAATGATGAAGATGCATGAGAAACATTACAGCCATTAGTTCTCTAGGAAAATAATGCGAAGTGGAACCTCTCTTGCGGTTCCATTTCTATTACTAATTTGCTGATTCATCTACAGATATCCTGAAAGAAAATTGGAAACACAAACAGGAGGTAGGAGACTCAAACTTTGTCAGCTTTCATGCCACTTCTGGGTCAAAATCATGCTTCAAAACAAATGGAAAATGCTAGTAGGCCAGTTGTTACTAAGGCTTCTGCCATTCCAAAAGAAGATAATCAACCCATGAGTACTTGTGGTGTTCTGTATTAACATACTCCAAATATTAACTTCTGATTGGTCCACACAAACTGCGTTGTGATTGGTCCACTAAACGGCAGTGATTGGTCCGCTAAGAATCAACCGCGATTGGTCGAGCCGATCGCGGGAGATTCAAGGACCTGTCATTGGCCGGCAAGCCGCGAGCAATCCCTATATGAAGGCCTGCCACGGCTCCAAGATCTTGTACAGATCTATACATGGAAATAAAGAGCTGAACTGTCATGCTGGTCTCGAGTCTCTCTTTCCCGCGATCTAACACTGGCGACGAAAGTGGGATCTTGAGACAAGAGACCAGGCGAGCATGTGGCCCACAGAGCTGAACAACCGACAAGATGTCTGGCAGCAACGCGCCCCCCGCACCCTACGACCAGGCAGCCGAGGACTGGGAATCATACATTGATCGATTCCTCATGTTCCTCGAGAGCAATAACCTGAAGGATGCCAACGGCCAGAGAAAAAGAGCTGTGTTCCTGACACACTGCGGGCCCGCAGTGTTCAAGATGGCCAAGGCACTGGCCAAGCCCCAAGATGTGAAGGAGATGGACTGGGCAGACCTCGACCAGCTTCTCCGACGCCATTACGCACCGGCCATCCCCAACCTCATCCGACAGCATGATTTCTACCGATGGGACCAGAAGGAGGGTGAAAGCATCAGCAATTTCGTGACGGCCCTCAGGAGCCTCGGAAGTATGTGCTGGTTTTCCGACATGGACGAGGCTCTGCGAGACCGCATGGTCCTTGGACTAAGGGACCCCATACTACAAAGCCAACTGATGGCCCGAGCAGACATCTCGATCACTGAGGCCATCGCCGAAGTGACCGCAGCTGAGGCAGCGAAGCAGTCAGCGGCCAAGATGAGGCAATTGCACACGACGCACCGGCAAACACCCACCGAAATGACACCGGCCCCAGAAAAAAGACCAGAAGCAAGGCACAAAGCCACAACCACACACCACGGTGACATCGACTCCTTCTCCGAAACCGAGGATGACGAGGAGGAGATCCACAGAATGCACTTGGAATGAGACCGGCAAGAGCGGAGAGGTTGTAAGTCGGGGTTCCAGTGTGCTGGATGCAGAGGCGATCATCCCCGATCAGAGTGCTGGTTTTTAAACACCATTTGCCGGCACTGTGACAAATGGGGACACATCGCCAAGGTATGCTGGAACAAAAGAAACCACAGTCCCAGACGATGAGACGGCTCCCCACCCAGAACCAGAGACCGACACGCAGAGAGCTGGTGGAGCCGAGAGGGGAGAAGCAAACGGCTCAACGAAATGAGGCGGAGAGAGGAGACACACCAAACAGTCGTCATCGGGCACTCAACCACAGCTGATGCCCGAAAAGTGCACGTAAAGGTAAACATCGAAGGCATACCTTGCAACAATGGAGGTGGATTCCGGATCCTACCTCTCTATGGTCTCCTGGAATACAATCAAGCGCCTGGTACCTAGCATACGCAGGCGAGAATTGGAAAGCCAGAGACTGACCCTGAAAGATTACCAGGGGAACCAGATCCCCGTGGTCAGAATCGGACACTTTCAGGTGAACTTTAAAGAACACACAGAGATCCTGCCATTAACTATCGTAGACAAAGACCACCCAAGCCTGCTGGAACTGGAGTGGTTCGCACCATTGGTGATCGAGGTGACCGGCATCAACCACATCGCCAAAGCAGACTGGGAGGAGACCCTCGTAAAGGACTTCCAGGAGGTCTTCAATGGCGAACTAGGCAAGTACCGGGGGTCCCCAATAACATTTAACTTAAACCCAAATATTGCCCCAATCCGCCTAAAACTGAGGCGAGTTCCATTTGCCCTCAAGCCAAAATTAGATGAGCAATTGGATAAGCTCATCGCGCAAGGGGTCCTGGAGCCGATAGACCACGCATGATGGGAAACCCCAATAGTCACCCCGATTAAATCGGACGGGTCCGTGAGGATCTGTGGTGACTACAAGGCTACCCTCAACCATGCGCTGCAGCAGAGCGCTTACCCCGTCCCGGTGGTACAGCACCTCCTACACTCACTGGGGGGAGGAAAAGTCTTTGCAAAGCTCAATCTACCAGCAACTGCCAGTCAATGCTGAGACTGCTGAGGCGCAAACCATCGTGACCCACCGGGGGGCATTCCTATGCAAAAGACTCCAATTCGGAGTCAGTGTGGCACCAGGGGTATTCCAGAGTCTAATGGAAAAACTATTACAAGGAATAAAAGGGGTGATACCCTATTTCAATGATATGTTAATATCCGCCAAAAATAAAAACCAATTGGAGAGCCGACTAAGGGAGGTCCTACAAAAATTTAAAGACACCGGGCTAAAGGTTAAAAAAGAAAAATGCCAACTCTGCACAGAGAAAGTCGAATTCCTGGGGTACCTACTGAACAAAAATGGAATCCACCCCACAGAAAAAAAGGTTAGAGCCATCAAAGAAGCCCCTAGACCTTGGAATAAAATGGAGCTGCAGGCTTTTCTTGGACTCATTAATTTTTACAATGTTTTCCTGCCCCAGAAGGTGAGCACGGCGGAACCCCTGCATAGGCTGCTGGACAAAACAGCCACCTGGTCCTGGGGAAAGCAGGAAGAGGACGCCTTCTGGAAAATAAAGGACCTACTAGCATCAGACGCAGTCCTCATGCAATACAACGAAACCCTACCATTGACCGTGACCTGCGACGCTTCACCCTTTGGTGTGGGAGCCTTCCTAAGCCACACTCTGCCAGACAGGAGAGAAGCGCCAATCGCCTTCTTCTCAAGAACATTGTCCAAGCCCAAGAGAAACTACAGCCAGCTGGACAAGGAGGCGCTAGCAGTAATCACCGGCATGAAGCGGTTCCACGAATACCTATACGGTAGGACCTTTTCAATTATCGCCGACCATAAACCACTACTAGGGATACTGGCAGGGAACAAGGCCACCCCGAACATTTTGTCACCAAGGTGGTCCGAGTTCCTTGCTGCCTACAGCTACCAGCTAGCACACTGACCCGGGAAAAGCATCACACATGCGGACACACTGAGCCGCTCCCCCCTGCCCGACCTGGAAGATGACCCAGCACCCACAACCTCGACGCTACACATAGAGACATTACCCAATCCACCCCTGACCACGCCAGACATTGCCAAAGAGACTAATAAAGACAAGCGGCTGGCGCAGGTCTTGAATTGGGTGGAAAAAGAGTGGCCGGAAACCGACGGCGGTGAGCAGTTTAAAGCCTTCCGGAACCGGCAGACCAAACTGTTCACACAGAAAGGTTGCATACTTTGGGGGGATAGGGTGGTAATCCCTGAAACGCTACAAAAGAGGGTGCTGGCTATGTTGCATGAGGGGCACCCGGGCATAGTCAAGATGAAAGCCCTGGCCAGGAATTATGCCTGGTGGCCCGGGATGGACAAGCAGATTGAAACTTGGGTAGCCTCATGCAGAAAATGCCAGGAAGCCAGACCAAACCCTCCCTCCACACCAATTCTGGAATGGGAGATTCCCAGAGGGCCATGGTCCAGGGTCCACATAGACTTCGCCGGACCCACAAAGGGACACACATTCCTAATTACGGTCGATGCTTACTCCAACTGGCTGGAGGTTAGCATCATGAAATCCACCACCACGGAGGCCATTATCAAAAAACTAAACAAACTATTTTCTACCCATGGACTGCCAGACGTGCTAGTGTCAGAAAACGGACCACACTAGCATTCGAAAAATTCCTGGCTGAACGGGGCATGCGTTGACAGCGCCCGCTCATCCGGCAGCGAACGGGCAGGTGGAACGCATGGTTCATTACACAAAAAATGCAATAGAAAACTTGAAACCTGGGACATACACGACAAAATAAATAAAATGCTACTAATACAACACATAACACCCAATACAACGACAAATAAAAGCCCGGCAGAGCTACTGATGGGCAGAAAATTACAGTCCCAGCTAGACAGACTGCACCCCACATACAAGCCCGAGAAACCCCCAGACTCATCGAGCAAATACCGAATATTTGCTCCAGGAGACGCAGTCTATGCAAAAAACTTCACAGGGGACCCACTCTGGGTATCGGCAAAAATAACCCAAGTAACGGGATCCTGATCGTACCAACTACAAACAAACGATGGGAGAAGCTGGAAGCGGCACATCGACCAACTAAGGTGAAGAACAACCACCGACAACACAGATAGCACATAACACCACAAATAAACATCAATAAAGAAACCAGAGGGGGGAGGGAAACCCCAAGCATGCAAAGAGAAGAAGAAAATTCCCAAACACAACCCAAACACCCCCAATCCAAAATAAACCAGCAATACTCACCAGTAGACGTCATCGACAGAAGGGAACCCGTAGCAGACGAGCAACAGGGTGTTTCACCTGGAAGGAGCAGCCAAGCCAGCTCAACCAGCGCGGAAAGACCAGGCAGGAACAGCGGAGCCGACAACTCGACCGACCCGGGTAGACCGGGTGGGAGTTACAGCAATAGGCCTGACTCACCCTTCCAGGCGGTTCCATCGAGGAAGATGAGAGCGACAAGAAATCCATCCGAACCGGTCGACGACCAGACAACAACTGAGTTGCGCAGGTCAAATAGGCAAGTACGGAGCCCCGCCTACCTGCGCGACTACGTCCTGTAGGACTGAACCAAGAGGGGAGGGTGTTCTGTTAATACAGGAAATGCTAACTTCTGATTGGTCCACACAAATTGCATTGTGATTGGTCCACTAAATGGCAGTGATTGGTCCACTAAGAATCAACCACAATTGGCCGAGCCGATCACGGGAGATTCAAGGACCTGTCATTGGCCGGCAAGCCGCAAGCAATCCCTATATGAAGGGCTGCCGCGGCTCCAAGATCTTGTACAGATCTATACATAGAAATAAAGAGCTGAACTGTCACGCTGGTCTCGAGTCTCTCTTTCCCGTGATCTAACATGTGGTTTGCTATTTACTCTGCCAGGCATGGAAATGAAACACAATTGCTTCACAAGCTACACTGACTTCCCATAGACTTCTGGGTGTGATTCAAATAGTGGCGATCAACTTCAAATCCTAAATGACATAGGGCCATGTATTTTGCGGGATCACCTTTTCCTAGCTGTTCTATTTATCTCACCAGAGCTGAGCAGAGCAGAGCAGTGCAGGAGTTGGAAGGAACCTTGGAGGTCTTCTAGTCCAACCCCTTCTCAAGCATGAAAACCTATACCATTTCAAATTGTTGTCCAATCTTTTTTAAAATTTCCAATGATGGAGCACCCATAACTTTTGAAGGCAAGATTCCACCAGATCCAACAGTATAGGAATAGAAATATACTGATACTTTTGAATCTTGGTATTGGAGAAGACTTTAGAATAGCATGATAGCTAAATAAACAAATTGATCACTGAAGAAATAAACCCAAAATTTTCACTCAAGATACAAATTACCAGGTTCAAATTGTCCTACTTTAGACATATTTTGATAAGGTCTGGTTTTCTGGAAAAATCTATTATGCTGTGGAAGGTGATACAAAACAGCACCCAAGTCAATTATATAGCAGTGGTGTACCAGTAAAAATCCTGAAAAAGCTGGATGAGGAAGATCCTGGAAAAATCTGTGGTTAACAATTGACATCTAATTGTTGGCACTTAATCAGTCTCTGATATCATGCCACCTAGTGGGATCCGGAGACCTATCTTTTCTTACATGTCAATATCTCTAAAATAAAATCCTTCCCGGCTTCCTGATTCAGATAGCCCACTCCTTTTTAGCTTTCTGTAGGGTCTTTAAAATATTTCCTCAAGCATTTATTTGTTAGTTGAGCCTGCTGTGTTAAGTTTGGTTAGTGTTTTTCTTTCTTTCTTTCTTTCCTTTTTCTTTTTTCTTTTTTCTTTTTTCTTTTTCTTTTCTTTCCTTTCCTTTCCTTTTCTTTCTTTCTTTCTTTCTTTCTTTCTTTCTTTCTTTCTTTCTTTCTTTCTTTCTTTCTTTCTTTCTTCTTTCTTTCTTTCTTTCTTTCTTTCTTTTCTTTCCCTTCTCTCTCTGTGCCAATGACTGCATTTCTAGAGATCTGTCTGTTAAAGTACTGAAGTTTACAGATACATCAGCCATTGGCTTCATTCGAGACAGTGATAAGTCTGCAAATAGTACTGCAACCAGAACAATCTGGAGCTGAACATTTTAAAATTGTAGAGATGAGAATGGGTTTTAGGAGGAGCTCTTCTATTTTACCACCTATTATTCAACAGCATAGCATCAGCAGTATAATCCTTCAGGGTTTTGGGTTCTACAATGTATATGTAACATTAGAACCATCATTAAAAAGGCACAACAAAGAATATTCTTCCTGTGTCAAATCAGGAAGTTTAAACTGCCCAGGAGCTGTTGATTCAATTTTACAGAAGAATTATTGAGGATGTCACTTGTACTTCTTTAACTGTCTGGTTTAGTAAAGTAACCAAACAGGATAGGTACAGACTCCAAAAAATAGTTAGGACTGCAAAAGAACAATTGCAATCATAGACAATCTATATATTGCAAGGATCAGAAGGAGGACTGACAAAATCTCTACAGATCCCTCACTTCTAGACATAAACGATTTCAACTCTTTCCTTTGGGATGCTACTATAGGATATTGCATGCCAAAACAATTAGACACGGGGTCAGGATTTTTTTTCCTCATGCTTCTGCTGAACACCTAATTCTCCTAATACTGTCTAATGTCTGTGTATATTTAGCCATAGATAGTATATTATTATTGTTGTTGTTGTTCATAAAAATGGCAGTATACACAGCAGATGAGATAAACATACTGGGTTTCGTATCACAAATCACTAGTCAAACACTTTCCAAGTGTTTAGGACTGCATGATGTATCGGTGGATTATACGAGCAGATTGTTGTTTCTCAACGATTCTGCTATCACCAGGTATGGCAATGTCGATGATCCACATTTTTTTCTTCTCCACAATCGTGATATCGGGGGTATTGTGTTCCAGAACTTTGTCAGTCTGTATTCGGAAGTCCCAAAGTAGTTTTGCATGCTCATTTTCGACCACTTTTTCAGTCTTATGATCCCACCAGTTCTTTGCTACAGGCAGATGGTAGTTGTGATACAAGTTCCAGTGGACCATCTGAGCGACTGTGTTGTGATGTTGTTTGTAGTCAGTCTGAGCTATTGTCTTGCAACAGCTCAGTATGTGATCAATGGTTTCATCCGCTTCTTTGCAGAGTCCGCATTTGGAGTCATCAGCAGATTTTTCTATTCTGGCTTTGATTACATTCATTCTGATGGCTTGTTCTTGGGCTGCAAGAATCAGGCCTTTTGTTTCTTTCTTCAGTGTTCTGTTGGTCAGCCATAACCAGGTCTTTTCCTTATCTACTTTTCCTTGGATCTTTTCAAGGAACTGTCCATGCAGTGCTTTTTTAAACTATTACATCAGCAGCAGCAGCAGCAGCAGCATTATTATTCCTATTATCTTCTTTACCACTCCCTTATTGGGGTGATATGATGATGAGGATGAAGATGGTGGTGATGACAACTCTGCTTTGCATGTACACTTCTGAGTTTCTGCATCAGAGAAGATTCTTGTGTGTCTAATCACATTTAGCCAAATAAGGTATTTTATTCCATTTTTCTAGGTGGGCTTTTAGAAGCCTCAGCTGGATTGTACTATGCACATTTAGTTACTATATTTTAATGTGTTTTTCCTAGCTACAGATGTTTAAATTACATTTTTTGCTTTTCTGTTATATTCTTGGCACGTTTTATATACTGTCAGCTGCCCATGCTCACTATGTTGAGAAGGGCATCCATATCAATCATATCAACATGGTGGATTTCATAGACATCCTTATTCATAGTTAAGGCTAAGTTCCTCTTTGATAGGGAACTGCAATCAAGAAGAATGGGAATGCCATCAGTGTAAAAGGAAAAGGTAAGAAATAGGAAGGATACAAGAGCAACCCATATCAAAATCAGGACCACTGAATGCTCAGTGAGATAAAGCAGGAGATACATTTTAAATATAACCATTTTTTTTGTGTATTTCCTTATTCAAGGGCAAACTGTGTTTAGGACTTCAGGAAATTCCAGAGGAAGAACAACATGAGACATAGAGAAGCCTTCTTACTGAATTTTAAAGTATACTTACAGTAGATGGTAGCTGGATTGGTATTCTTGTGCTCCTCAACAACCAGCTCCACAGGAATAAAGTTTACTCCCAGCTCATGAATGGGTATTGAACTGTAGCCTAAGATCTGTATCCCTAGATCTCAGTTTCAATTAAATGTCCATACCACTTCATGGAAAGTTTTATCTTTCAATGAAGGCTTGTAATATTCCAATATGTGGGCTTTCAGATATTTTCAACTCCAATTTCGTTTAGTCCCAATTTCCAACTCCCCAGAGATGATAAAAATTGCATATTATGGCTACAAGAATCAGCTCATTCCAAGATGGTACTTAAGGGATGAGATAAAACTTAATACTTGACCGCTTTCTAATGGCCGTCTGAATTTCTGAAATTCAAATCTAATAGTCCTCCTGAAGTGCAGTAACTGGTTTCCCACACTATCTTAAATTTCCAGAATTGGGTCTTCTTGACAATTTGTTTTTTTCACCATCGTGTCATTATTAGTTACATGTCTTTTAAGCTTTCTGCTCTCTACAGGCTTCCTCCAATTATCCTTTTAAAACTAATATATTAATATGCTTGAACAATCTGCATTTATATAATGTTAATATAAATACTACAAATGTTTTGGCAGTTCAACAAGGGCTAAATTATATGATACATGCCTGAAACTGAATTTTAAATGTAATTCTTTAAAAGATATCATTTACAATAGTTTAGTACACATTTATGGTTAAACATTTTAGGTATCAATGAACAAACAATTAAATGTAAAACCCATATCAGTATCACAGTGAATGTATTACTGTCGGGCTTCAACAACGCTGCTGATGAAATGAAGCCCGACACACATCCTCAAGATTGGGGTGAGTTACCCTTCCTGACAATCCTGGGTTGATGACAGCTGACGACGCCAAGCACAACCTCTTCTCCCCATGTCGGGTTTCACCAATGCTGCCGACGAAACGAAGCCCGACACATCATCATGGTTGAGGCAGACGCTCTCAGCGCTGACTTTGCTCGGACTTACCGTTTGTTGCTGCTGTTGGAGGAAACAAGCCATAATAAACACACATTGCCACACCAGGACTGTGAGTAAAGTGTTTTATTTAACAAGTTTCAGCAAAGTCCCAAAGAAGCTGACAGAAAGCCAGCACTGCCTATAATCTGCTCCATTGGTGAGACACTATGGCAGAAGGTAAAGTCCCTGATTTTTTGGATAAAGATGGTTTCGAGGAGGTTGAAGAGAGTGGTGAGAGGAGACAGGACCATGAGGATATGGGGGAGAAGAAGGAGGATACCTCGCTGGCAGCGCAACCAGCAGTGAGGCCAAAAACAACCAGAGAAGTGCAATTGAGTGAACGGAGTTACGTTCCTAAAGGGCTTCACCAAACGGAACGAACATTAGATTGGAAAGTGAAATGGTGGCCTGGAGCAGAAGATATCTAATGGATGGTTCCATGAAGTGATACATTGGAACTTTTATGTCATCAGTTTGGGGAGATGACATTGAGAGGGCCGATGGATAGAGGGTCTTTGGGTCATAAACAAGCATTGACTCCTGATAGTAGTTCTCTGAACACATCCAGCCCAATGGGATTTCGAGAATCTGACGTGGGAAGAGGGTTAGAATGGTTGGATTTGCATACTAGAGGATTGGATGAGAGAAGTGAGGGCCCGAGCCATGGGATCTGGCTCTATGGAAAGACAAGATATGGAGCATGGACCTCATTGGGAAGGGCAAACACAAGGAAGGTGGGGACCATCTCCCCTGGCTGCTACTTTTGATGGTTCTGCACATAAATTAGCTGTGTTTCTGGGTCAAATTTTGAATCATTTTGAATTATATGGTCAATGTTACCCATCCAATTGGTCTATGATTATTGCTGTCACTGGAGTACTGGTACGGGAGGCATTTGAGTGGGCAGCTGATTTATTCTGCACTAGGACAGAAGAGTTGGGAGATATAGGGCCATTTTTAGCCTTATGAACTCGATTTGAGGATAAAACTGCTGATAAATGAGCAGAAGAAGATCTACTGGCCGTAAAACAAAAAGGAAGAATGGCCAGGGAATATGTAAATGAATTTCAAAGGGTGATCAGTAAACTGCCTTTATTACCTGAAAGCCTGTTTTAAAGAAGGTCTGGACCCTAAATTACATCAAGCTTGTCTTTATAGGGGCTCGCATGTTAGTCTTGCTGATTGATATCGAGTATCAATAGAATTAAATGATGGACTTCGGCGTTTGAAACCTAAACTTGAAAGGGATATCCAAACATGTAAGATTATGGATCCAGTTACAAAACCTCAGACTAGGGGGGTACTAATTCCAAGTGGTAGAGGCATAATGAAATGTTTCCAATGTAATAGACTAGGACATAGAGCTGTAGCATGCCCTATACTATCTTTGATGTTGGAGAGAATGCCTTGTATTGGTCCAGAGAGTACCCGAACCAGATCAAGTAGAAGTGAATGGCATGGACAGGAAAAAGTGAGGGGTGTTAGAAGCAAATCACCAGATGATCACACTGAGGAGGATAGTTCCAGTATACCAACTATGGTTTTAGCTGACTGTGAGTTAGAAGGTGGGACACCCGATGATCCAATAGTGAGTAACCCCATCCATCCTTTTATTTTACCCGTTTTTCTGTGGAATAAATGGACTGAACAAGGAATCAAGGTGGGGGCACTAATTGATTCTGGGTGCACAAGATGTTTGATAACTAAAGGGGTGGTGGACAAACTAAGTTTAAATGTCATCAAATTGGATTAAATTTGAACAGGTAGATGGGTCCATATTAGGTGGAGTTCTGGCAACCCACAGAACTGAATACATTAAAATGGTGATGGGTGAACACTGGGAGTGGATTTCTTTTGTGGCAGTTCCTCATATGAGCGAAGCAGTAATTCTGGATTTAGCTTAGCTTGATAAATGGGAGCCAACTATAAAATGGGAAGAAGGGTATCATAAATTAAAACTAGCAGTTGGTCCTCATCCACCTAGTTATAATGAAGTACAGCGAGCTCCTGAACATGCATTGATAAAGGAATCACCAACAGTATAACCTTACCCTTGTGAATATAAAGATTTGGCTGAGGTATTCAAGGAAGATGGCACTGATTGTTTACCACCACATCGCGCTACGGATTGTGCCACAGAATTGATTCCAGGTGCACCTTTGCCTAAGCCATGAATGTACTCCATGACCCACAAAGAAATGAAAAAATATATTGAAAATTTTTTAAAGAGGGGATTTATCACCCCAAGTAGGTCGCATGTGGCAGCACCTGTGTTATTCCGTGAAGAAAAAGATGGTAGCTTACATTTATGTGTGGACTATCGAGGGTTGAATGCCATCTGTGCGGAACCGTTATATCCATTACCATTAATGAAAGACTTGCTTACTACCTTAGCACAAGGCCGCATATTTACAAAACTTGATCTACAAGAAGCGTATTATAGAGTACGAATTAGAGAAGGAGACAAATGGAAGATGATGTTTAATTGTCCACTGGGTAGTTATTGTTATAAGGTAATGCCATTCAGGCTGCAAGGAGCTCCAACTGTATTTATGCAGCTGATAAATGACATTTTATATGAACATTTATGTAGAGGAGTTTTGGTTTATTTGGACAATATTTTAATTTATTCGAAGTCTGAACAAGAACATATCCAATTATTCAGACAAGTACTCAAAAAACTGTTAGACGCTCAACTTTATGTGAAACTCTCAAAATGTGAGTGGATTATCTAGGTTACCATATTTCTGAACGAGGTATTGAGATAGACCCCAAGAAAGTAGAAACCATGTTAAAGTGGCAAGCCCCAACCACTAGGAAACAGTTGCAGAGTTTCTTGGGGTTTGCAAATTTTTATTGGCAGTTCATTCCTTGTTTTGCCGATATTGCTCTACCTTTAACAGATTTATTAAAGACAAAATCTATCGAGATTAAAAATACAAAGGCAAATACTAGGCTGCCATGGACAGATATATGTCAACAGGCATTTAACAACCTAAAGGATTTGTTTGCGAGAAAACCTGTGTTGAAACATCCAGATGTAGAGTTACCCTTTGTTGTTGAGGCAGATGCCAGCGACGTAGCAGTACGAGCTGAGCTACTGCAAAGGAATGCGGATGGGGTTTTACACCCGTGGACATACACTTCTTGTAAATTCAGTCCAACTGAACATAATTGGGTGATCTGGGAGAAGGAAGCTTTCATGGTTCATTGGTCATTATTGACCTGGAGACATTTGTTGGAGGGCAGTCCAAAACCTTTCGAGGTGTGGACTGACCATAAAAATTTGGAAGCCCTCCAAAATCCACGTTGCTTATCACCGAAACAAGTTCGTTGGGCTTTATTTTTTTGAAGGTTTAAGTTCACATCGAAATATGTTCCATCAGGGAAAAACTTTATGGCGGATGCTTCAGAATTCAACCACTTATACCGATAATTGATCGAGCCAAAGGATTAAAAGCCACTATACTTGCACCAGACCTGCCTGTGTTGTTAGCAGAACATGATTGGTTAATACATAATGTAAATCAAACAGAAATGAAAGATGGTATTGCCTGGCATGGGAACAAAATTTATATACCAAACGTATTAAGATCAGTGGTGCTGAAACGATGTCATGATGTTAAGCAAGCAGGACATTATGGATTCCTGAAAACATTACATTTGGCAATGTTTTGGTGGCCAGGCATGCGATTGGATATCAAAACGTATGTGAAATCCTGTCCAGTGTGTATGACAAATAAAACAAAAATAGGAAAGACAACAGGTTTATTGCAGTCTGTATCTGAACCAACGAAACCTTGGCAAGAAATTGGGATGGATTTCATAGTGGATCTACCAGATAATAACGGGTACACAGTTATATGGACTATTATTGATTTATTTTCAAAACAGGTGCATTTTGTACTGTGCAAAGGAATACCATCAGCTAAAAATTAGCACAATTATTTATACAACATATATATCAGTTACATGGAGTGCCCAAAATAATTATATCCGATAGAGGACTGCAGTTTACATCCAAATTTTGGCATAAATTCATCTATGTGATTGGATCGACACATGGTACAGCTACCAATGGAGCAGCCGAAAGAGCTAATGCAGCCATTGAGCAATATCTCCGGTGTTATGTTAATTATCAACAAAGCAATTGGACAACTTTACTGCCATATGCTGAAGTCGCATATAATAATGCGGTACATAGTAGCACCAGTTATTCTCTCTTTCAAATAGTTAATGGGATGGAATTTGTACCTATACCAGAATGGCTGCAGGCTGAACAAACCCAAGACACTCTTAATACCACTACGTGGGCAGCCAATATAAAGAAACAATGGGAATCAGTTCGAATTGCATTAAAAAAAGGCACAAGAAGTGTATAAAACCCAAGGAAACAAGAAATGATCCGACCAAAAATCATATAATATTGGAGATTGGGTCTATCTATCAACAAAATACATACACCTGGGTCTAAATAAGAAAAAAAATAGGACCAAAATATATTGAACCATTTCGAATATTATGAATCATAAATCCAGTAACGGTGGGTCTTCAACTGCCATCTCATTTTAAATGAATTCATCCTGTATTCCACATTAATCTACTAAAACCAGCCAATATGGCCAGACAAGAACCGAGAGTGACTATGCCAAGACCAATACACGACGATCATTACAAAATCCACAAGATACTCGATTCACGTCGACGACGGGGTATCCTGCAATATCTAGTTAGCTGGAAGGGGCATCCACTATCAGACGCAGCATGGATACCATGTACAGATGTGTCCGCTCCCCAGATGTGGTGGTGGTTCCATAGGAAATACCCCACGAAAGCAGGCGGGGAAGGGGAAATTGTATATACAAGATAGTTATTGCTTGTTTTTTGTTTCAGAGAGACACACGGTAGAGGGGGCTGCATGTCAGGCTTCAACAACGCTGCTGATGAAATGAAGCCCAACACATAATCACGTCCTCAAGATTGGGGCAAGTTATCCTTCCTGATGATCCCGGGTCAATGACATCTGATGATGCCAAGCACAACCTCCTCTCCCCATGTCGGGTTTCACCAACGCTGCCGATGAAATGAAGCCTGACACATCATCATGGTTGAAGCTACCGGTTGAGAGACTGCTTTGTCAGCTGTTCAGCACGACCAGCTGAGAGATTGCCTTGTCAGCTGTTCAGTTTTGCAACTTTCTAGGCAAAACGCCTCTCCCTCTTCTCAGCGCGACCAGCCGGAAAACATTTTGGAATATAGTATCGGCTGGTCGGCAGTTCATATGGGGGATTGGGGTAGAAAGACACCCGGGGTAAAGGGGAGGTGTTGTCTGGGAGTTTGGACCATGGTTAGAATCCAGGTGGGTGGCGGCATGGATGAGTGCTGAAGACGGATGTTGGGTAGTTGTTAGGAGTGGGTGTTAGCTAATGATCGGGGGTGGAAAGGGATTATAAAAAGCACTGAGGCAGACATTCTCAGCGCTGGCTTTGCTCGGACTTACCATTTGTTGCTGCTGTTGGAGGAAACAAGCCATAATAAACACGCATTGCCACACCAGGACTGTGAGTAAAGTGTTTTATTTAACAAGTTTCACCAAACTCCCGCAGAAGCTGACAAAAAGGAATTGCCCCTTCCCAAAAACCTCCTAGCATCTATGTCTTACCATGACAAGCCAACTACACACTATGCTTCCCCATTTATCATTTTATGTTACACAAGTTGTACAAATTTAATATACTGTGAAAATTCATTTCTCTTTCTTACTGTGTTCATATACTGAGCAGTGAAAAAAAGCCCTAATAGCCTTCCGAAATGTATAATGTTGGATAATATCCAAACACATCAGAGGTGGTATTCAGCAGGTTCTCACCAGTTCTGGAAAACCGGTAGTGGAAATTTTGAGTAGTTCAGAGAACTACTGGCAAATACCACTCTGACTGGTTCCACCACCATGTATTCTCTGCCTCCCAAGTCCCAGGTGATCGGCTGGGTCTTCTTTTGTTGCCCTGCACAGGAGAACAGAGCTGGAAAGCAGGTTAGTGAAGTGTGGAGGAAATGGGGATTTTGCAGTAATCTTCCCCTGGAGTGGGGTGGGAGTGGAGATTTTACAATATCCTTGTCCTAGAGTAGAGTGGGAATGGAGATTTTTCAGTATCCTTCCCCTGTCATGCCTATCAAGCCATGCCCACCAAGCGATGCCATGCCCACCAAGCCACACCTATAGAGCTGGTAGTAAAAAAAATTGAATCCCACTATTTATTTATTTTATTTATTTTATGTGGTTTGTCAATTGCTTACAAGATAATAGATATAAGTAAAAACTGGATACATGGATACATATAAGAAAAATAAAAGAAACAATAGGACAGGGACGGTAGGCCCCCTACAGACCTCTTAGGAAAGGGGTGAGGTCAATAGTAGAAAGTCTAAAGTTAAAGTTTTTGGGGTTTGGGGAAGAAATCACAGAGTCAGGAGAGCATTCCTGACATTTCCCACTCTGTGCTGAAGTCGTATTTCCTGCAATCAAGTTTGATGCGAATAACCTTGAGTTTGCATCTATTGTTTGCTCTTGTGTTGAAGCTGAAGTATTCATTGACAGGTAGGACATTGCAATGTATGATTTTATATACTATACTTAGATCGGACCGAAGGCAGCGTAGTTCTAGATTTTCTAGGTCTAGAATTTCACGTCTGGTGGCATAAGGTATTCTGCAACGAGTGGAAGAGTGGAGAACTCTTCTTGTGAAATATTTCTGGACTTTCTCAACTGTGCTAATATCAGATACGTAATGTGGGTACCAGACTGATGAGCTGTATTCGAGTATTGGTCTATCAAATGTTTTGTATGCTCTAGTTAGTAGTGTAATATTACCAGAGAAAAAGCTATGTAAGATTAGGTTAACAACTCTTAATGCCTTTTTGGCTATGTAGTTACAGTGGGCTCTAGCACTTAGATCATTAGAGATGAGTACTCCAAGATCCTTGACAGAGTTTGGATCATCAACAAGGTCTTGACTATTCAGCCTGTATTTTATTTTCTGATTTTTTTTGCCAATATGTCAGACAGAGCTTTTATTTGTTGAGATTTGAAGTTGCCATTTGTTTGACCATTCTGATACATAGTCGAGGTCTTTTTCAAGGGTAGCAGTATTGTCTGTGGTGTTGAATAGCTTTACATCGTCAGTGAAGAGAACGCAGTTGCTCTTAATATGATCAGAGATCATTTATGTAGAGTATGAAGAGAGTTGGTCCTAGAACACTGCCTTGGGGGACACCACTGTTGACAGGTACAGAATTTGATAGGATTTTGACCATTTGTTGTCTGTTTGACAGGAATGCTTCTATCCAGTTATGCAGGTGTCCAGAGATACCATAAGTTTTTAGTTTTAGGAGTAGTTTGTCATGTACCACTGAATCAAAGGCTTTACAGAAGTCTATGTAGATTGCATCTATTGCTTTGCCCTGATCGAGTTGTGTAGTCCATATGTTTTTGCAGTGTAAGAGTTGCAGATTGCAGGATAGTTTTTTTCTGAAACCAAATTGTTCATTAGAGAGTAGGTTGTTTGTCTCTTAAGTGGAGGATAATGGATTGGTTAGTAATTGATTCCATGACTTTACAGGTGACGCAGCATAAAGAGATTGGTCTGTAATTTTCAACTAGGCTGGGGTCTCCCTTTTTGAAGATGGGGATTACTGTGGCTTGTGACCATAGTTTTGGCAAGGAGCTGGTCCTGAAAGATTTTTTGAAGATTATGCTTAGAGGTTCAGCTATGGCAGTGGATAGCTTTTTAAAGAAGTAGGCACATATTCTGTCCGGTCCAATAGATAGAGATGGTTTTAGATTGCGTAGTGCTTTTTCAACATCCCCACCAAATGATTTTATGTCTTTTAGAGCTGAGGTAAATCAGTTGATTTAGACATAATCTGTTCTTGAGCTGAAACAGAATCACTAGTTATATAGCCACGACTGAAGTTAATGGACAATACTGAACTGATTTGCATTTATATCTTAAACAGATCCAAAAATTGGAGAGGAGTTGATAGGTATAATCCCCAATCATTAAAAATGATTAGTTTTCAATTATCAAGTCATTATTTGAGGGGTTTCTTCTAAATTAATGCCAGTTTCAGAAACAATAGCACAATTTCTTTAACATATTTTAAATGAAATGCACTGAAGCCAATAAATTACTCTTTCAAAAAAGGAGGAAGAAATAGATCAAAGAAAGAAATTATGACAAATGAAATATATTAGAACAAATAAATCCTTCCTTAAATTAAAAATAACACCAACCCATTGAGAGAAGAATAACATGAATAATTCTACTGGATCACTACATTCCTACAGAATTCATATTCTGTTTAGTTATACAATTAACAACAAGCACTTCAGGCTATTTCCTTCAAAGAACACTAGAAAACAGGATGAAAAGCAGTTCTAGATCTATTTTCTTAGCTCAAAGGCACACGCCCCCCAATTAACATGGAGAGTAGATAGATCAGTGGAGAATTCAGCTTTTTAAAACCACAAGGGGAAAAAATTTTAGTCCCTGAAAACATTTCCAGGTCAAAGAAATGCACTAGGATTTGCACGTGGATCTTTCTGATTCCGGTATCTGTAAGTAAGCCACACTCCTAGGATCTGAAGGAAGAAAAGAAAGAAAGCATCTGTTAAAACTTCATAATATATTGCAGCATCTTTCAGCACTACATCACTTCATTTATAAATATTCTCTGTATGCAATAATCCTGACTCATCATATATTCATATATGAAGGAATAATATCTATGAGTAAACAATATACCAATTTTCAACTTTAGAATAACCTACGAAATTGAACTTTTATAAAATCTGAAGACAGACTTTTAATTTTTTTTCAAGATAATGAGAAAATCTGAAAAAAGACATGGCTACTTTAAGGTACCTTCCCCTGATTATTTTTGAAGTGTGCACAGTCCTAGAAAATAAAACGGACTGTTCGTGTAATCACCAGAAATAGGCTATAACTGACAATGGTTCGATGCATGATACCTCTACAGAAATAATAAACAGTAAATTCAATGACATTCACTCATTTAAGTAACTGTATAGGATTTTAACTTTACCTGACAATGAAATATTATCTGTATATTATCTGTATATAGTGTATATTATCTTGCTAAGAAATAAAAATATTTTTACTTTTATAGAAGAGAACCATGCTTCTTCATACCAACTATAATACTTTTGTAGAAAAAATTATATTATAAAGTTCTCCAAATCACATAAACATACACAATGGTTTATACCAGAGCTGTCAAACTCCCGGCCCATAGGCCAGATGCTTCAGGCGCTGGCCACACCTATGCCTGGTTTAGTGAAGGGAAAAAAGTCCCTAAACGTCATCTGACACTGCTGTGACAAGGTGAGTTTGACACCCCTGGTTTACACTTATTTTGCACTTACCTCTGTGAAACTAAAGAAGAGACCAATACCTCCTACAAATCTTAAGACCATTCCAGAATATTCCTTAATTATAGGTGCACAGGGTTTACAGATCTGTGTTTCAAAACATTCCTACAAACAATCATTTCAATTCATTATTAGGATGTTATCTACAGCTACATGCACAGATATATATGCTATTTAAAATATTTATAGTCCCAACACACACTTAATATAACAGTGGGCAGCTAACAATAATCAAACCAACATATTATAAATACTCCTTCCTCCCAAATTAAAGACTTTCACAGTTTAACCAGGTGACATAAAAATCTCATGCTAATTTCTCATAGTTTGGTTTCATGTTACATCTTGGCTCATAATCTAGGAGAAGAGTCAAGAGAAAAGGGGTCATCTAGATCTCAAGGGAGTGTCTTGTGGTCTGCTGGCAGCCTGTGGAGACTGCAGCAGAATTGGACAGTGGGAAAGAACATGGGCAAGTCCGGGAGTCTGGGGAAGACTCGGACGATGGTTCTGCATCTGATACAGAGATGGGGCCAGGGCCATCTGGGAGTTATGTGCTGACTCCGGAGCCTCCAGAATCTGACAGCAGTGAGGCAGAGGAACAAGGGAAGCCTGTTCCCAGTGCATTGTGTGTGCAGAGCTGCCAGAAGACAAGAGCAGTTAAGACAAAGGGGTGACTCTAAGACAAAGGCTTGGAGATGATTGCCCCTCTCATAAGATATAAAGGAAGTCCAAAGGGACAGGAACCTTTGCAGGAAGCAATGTTGTCTTTGCTGGTCGGTTTGGAACCTGAAAGCTCCATGGTGAATTTGTGCTCCGTTTGGTTTTGAAAGACTAATTGGTACTTTAGTCATTGGCAGCACCTCAAATAAGATAAAGGTGCATTCTTATCAGACTTCTCCCGAAGAACTTTGGCGACTTCCATGGGACTATTTATAACTGGTTGAGATTCATGGTTGTGACTCATGGTTTATAACTGGCTGTGAATGATGATCATTCACAGCCGTTGAATTAAAATAAAAGGGTTTTGGATTTAACGTGTGTTTGTTGGTGTCTCAGGAAGCCTTGGTCAGAACAGAGAGTCTGTTCTGTAAAGCCAGCACCTCAACAGATAAAACATCCCCCAAGGTCATGCCAAAAGACATTGTTGACAGAGCCTTCTGTTCATCCATCAGATTTGATGGGATAGGTAGATAGGCAAATAGGGTGACCTGTGCCATGAAGTCCTTTAAAGCAGTGGTCACCAACCGGTGGGCCATGGCCACTGGGGGTCTGCGAGAAAATTTTGGCAGTCCACAGAGAAATGTCACCCCCAGAGCACTCCCCC